AGGGGCAGGCTGGGGAGGAAGTGGCCTCAAGGGCGGCGCTGGCCGGGCAGGGAGCTGGCCGGGGTGCCCGGCGCTCGATGGGCGGTCTGCAGGCGCGGCCTGCAGCTGCTCGGTCAGAGCTGGGCTCTCCCAGAGCAAAGGCTGGCTCCGGCCAGAGTGCTCGAGGGTCATGTGAAGACCGAGGTGCCGAGTCCCCGGCGCGGCCACTGCTGAGGTGCCAGGGCCCTTGTAGGGGGTGGACACGAGTCAGGCCCCCGCCTCAGGCCTGGATCCCAGGGAGAAGGGGCAGCGCCCTCCATCCAGCGGCCTCTGTCCAGCAGCACATGGGCCGGCCAGCACGCGCCAGAGCCTGCGGGCTGCGGCGCTCCTGGGCCCAAGCAAGGCCACCTGTGTCCCACGGGCAGCGTGAGCTCTGGCGGCCCCCAGAGCTGCCCGGCTCACCCGGCTTGTTTCCAAGTTGAGACTCGCCACTCCCGGCCACGGCCCAGCCCACCCGCCTCCCGCAGGCCTCGGCCACCGTGGCTGCGACCCGCAGTGGGCGACTTGGCCCAGCCCGGGCTCGGGCCAGCAGATCCCCAGGCTGCGACGGCCGGGCTGGCTTCCCTGGGTCCATCCTGCGTCCGGGGCTGGGGCGGCACCCCCCACCCCCTCCCGCTCCGGGACACCCAGCTGTGTGCCTCCGCGGGCGCCGCCGGCCCCTGGCCGCTCACACCTTCGCGTCACACCCGGCGCTGGACCCGTCCCGCGTGCGCGCACGTGCCGCCTCTCGCTGCTCCGTCGCCGTCTGGTTTTGCTTCTCTCCCGCTCTGAGGACAGCTTTGGAGTCGTTTCCGGTTCAAGAAAAAGCTTTATTTTCAATCTTATTCCGTGTCGAGGCGCAGGCCGGGCACGGGGAGCGTCACGGTCTTTCGTTCTAACCATTGAGACGACGTGTGTCTTGCTAAGTTTTATTTTTAAGCGGTTTTCACTGAGACTTTGTGTTTCCATCGCTGCGCAAGCCCATTTCTCTTCTCGTCGGGTTTGTTTCAAAGGAAATTTTTAGCAAGAAAGAAAAAACCCAAAATATCAGTAATTCAAGCTCTCCAGCCGCCCCCCACCCCGCCCCGACTTCCCTGCCTATGCAGCAGAAAACACCCGTGGGGGTGGGTGGGGGCCTCCCCCAAGCAGCGTGCAAACATGCCGGCCAGGGTGCGGGCACCCCTGCGGGGAGGCCTGGGCAGGGCCACCCGCCCTCGCCCCTGCGCCGTCCCTCGGTCCCCTCCCGCGCCGGCCTTCCTCCCTCCCGGCCCCAGCGTCCTGGATAAGCCTGTTAAATTGCCCCGTAATACTTAAAATGCTAGTGCCTTTAATATGTAAACAATGACAATTTTTTCCAAAGGGTTTAGGATTTAAATTAGTTTTTTAAAAACCCAATTACTGCCTTTTAATGCGAAGGAGAAGCTCTTTATGTGCTAATTATATAGCTGGGGAATGGGCAATCAGGGTACAATGGGACATGAAGGGCACTTTTCAAGGTTTAAACTTTCTTCTCTGGGTCTGGAGCGGGTCTGCACAGGCAGGGCCTGGTGGTGGCACGTCTGCGCGCGTGGTGGCCCGACGTGGCCCGATGGGGGTCGAGGAGACGCGGCAGAGACAAGCACGCGGCCGCTGTCGTCTCTTACTCGCCATGTTCGTGAAGCGTCAGATCCTGGCCCCGGGCCCTGATCCCTGCCCAGATTGCTCAGGCCAGTGGGCAAAGAGGGGACGCTGCTGGGTGCAGGGTGGACGGAACCCGGGCCTGGTCCCCGCAGAGCCCACATAGAACCTTCTGGAACCTTCCAGAGCATTCTGGATGCCTAAGCGGCTGCTGGGCTGCAAGGAAAGTCTCACTACAGGCGTGTCCCAACACAGACCCGCGGCGGGGCTGGCCTCCCAGAGCCCAGGTCAGCTGGGGATGTCCCGGCGCCTCGTGGACAACACCTGCTTCCTTGGAACAGGGACGGTGCCGTCTAAACAGAACTTATCTTCGAAGCCCAGTGGCCCCTCTTTTGCTTGCGGTTCCGACTGTGGCCTGGTGGCCGACAGGTGCGGGGCATGGGAACGCCCTCCCTGGGGGCTGGGGCTGGGGTGTCAGGGAAGAGGCCGGGCTTGGCGGCGCCCCCACCAAGCCTGCAGCAGGACTCCTGCTGCCCAGACCTGGGAGCGGCGCTCACCCGCATGGGCTGCCTGCCCACACCAGCCCCCGCGGACAACCGGGCCTGTGGCCGTCGCTGGGCTGCCAGGCGGGGCAGGGACCGTGGCCAGCGTGGCCGTGTGACAGAAGGCAGAGAGGACACGCTGCAGGTGGCAGGAAGGCTGACTTGGGGCCCCCAACAGCCCTCACGGGGGCTGCTGATCCTTCCCAGAGCTGCTGCCCCAGCATCACCGCCAGGACGTGACCCACCATCCCCTGCCCCAGGCTCTGCGCTGGACCTCACCTGCGGTCCTCCACAAATCCCGCAGCCCCTGGGCCAGCTCACGCCCCTTGCCAGAGAGGTGGGTGTCCCCGATGTGGGGGAGCCAGTGGGCAGGGCCCCTGGGGCCCCACTGGGGGCCGGGGTCAGGGAGGAGGGCGAGCACCCAGGCCTGGCCCCCGGGAGGGTGCCCAGGACTGGGCGTCAGGCAGGAAGGGCAGGGGCTGTGGGGGGGCGCGGGGGCCCAGGGTGGGTGGGGGCCGGTCAGCTGGACGCTCCAGGCGCAGGTGTCTCCGGGGGCTCAGAGCGGGTGGCCTGGGCCGCAGGACGGGGCTGCGGGAGGCACATCCGGCGGGACTCCTGCGCTCAGGTGTCCTCGGCACAGCCCCACGCGTTCTGGCGTCCACACTGATGCGTGAGGGCCCCGAGCGGCCCGTGGCAGGGTGAGGCGGAGGCCGAGAGCAGCGGGGCCTCAACCCAGTGGGTCCAGGAATGGCCGCGTTGGCACCTAGGGTGTTCAAAACCGGCGCAGATTAAACTAAAGCGATTAGACAACTTATTTTCTTTTTCAAGACATTAGCTGGTCAAAATGACAAAAATGTCCTTAAGCCGAGCCGAGGCAGGGCCGGAACAGGCCGCCCTTTGTTTGGCTGGGGGCCGGGCCGCGGGGCCCGCGTGGACACCCAGGACCCCTCCTGCAGCCGGCGCGGGAACCGGCCCGTATTAGCGGGGATTAGGCGGCCGAGCTGGGGTGGCCGGGCGCTGTGGCCACCCAACAGCGGGCCTGGGCCGAGTCCGCCGCCCGCCAGGTCGGGCAGCTTGGGGGAGGGGCGTCTTCCTGGACCGGCCGGGCTGCCACTTCTTTGGGGGGTTGGGGCGCGCCCCCAGGGAGCAGGGAAGAGCCCCGATGCTGCCCGGCCCCACGCCCCAGCCCGGCGGCCCGGAGCCGACCCTCCCGCCTCTGGCCCGGCCCGGCAGGTGGGGTCCCGGCCGGGGGGCGGGAAGGGCGGGCTGGGGCCCCCCGCCTGGCTCTTCCTGTCCCGCAGACGCGGCCCTTGGGCCCGACATTTTCTCAAGCAAAGAAAACATACTAGAGCGAGTCTCTTATCTGGGGACAAACAATGAGGCCGGGCCGCCGGGAAGGCTCTCGGGTCAGCCCAGGGCCCAGCGCCCGCCAAGCCGGGGTGGCCTTGCTCCGGGGCGGCAGGTGACGCGCCAGCTGCGCCGTAACGGGAGCCCCGACGCACCGCGCCGGCGTGGCTGACATTGGAGGGTCTCCTCGCCCCCTTCCGAGCGGCGCTGTGGCCGAGCACACCCTCCGGGCTCAGGCACAATCACGGGGTCGGATTACCCCGAGAAACAGGCTTTCCCTTTGTTCCGTCCAGCGCGGCTCCGGCAGCCCGGCCCGGCCCGGCCCGGCAGACCCTGCTCTCTGGGCCGGTCTCGTGCGCCCACCCCCACCCTCCTGGGCTCTGGTGGCCGCCGAGGGGAGGGTGGCCCGGAGGGCCGGGTGCGGGCCCGGTGAGGTGGGCGTCCCCCGTCCCCGCAGTGGCTGACGTGGCAGGCGCAGGTGTGCGGGAGCTCTGCTCGCCCTCTGGCGCACGGAGCCCGGGGCAGGGCAGGTGGGGGCCCAGGGCCGGGGTCCCGGGTGGCCTCTGGGCCTGCGACTCGGGCCTGGGGCTGCCCCTGTCCCCCCCGACCGCATGGGGCCGTGCAGGGCTGGGGGGGGAGGGGGGCCCCGCCTGGCGGTGCCGGGGGCAGTGGTGAGGGCACGACGTCCAGGAGGGTGCCCGGCCCACCAGAGAGGCCGCCCCCCACGTCCGCCTCACAGATAGGACGGGCCGCTCCTCCGAGGACAGCCAGTTCGTTTGTGAAGCTGCGCCGGCCGTGGCTGCTGTGCTGTTGGCCAACTTGCTGAGTCACGGTGAGGGGACAGCAGGGTCTGCCGTGGGGAGAGCCACAGCCCGGGGCTCCCAGGACCCTGCGGGCGTCCCAGGCTCTCCAGCCCGCTGGCCGCTGCAGACCGCGGAGCCCACCCCGGCCCCGGGCAAGCATACTGCCATCCAGGTGACACAGGCCCCCCAAGACAGGACACCACGCTCATTGGCACCCCCTCCTGCAGGTTAGGACCTTCCCTGTGGCCGGAGATGGTGGTGGACGGAGGCGGCGGAGCTGGGGGGCGGCGGGTAGGGGGCACTCGGCCTGCCGCATCCGCGGTGGGCACGTGGGGAGGCCGGCGTTTGCCCCAGGCAGGGCCCCAGGGTGGAGGGCCCAGCCCTCGCCCCCTCCCAGCCACAGGCCGGGCGGGCGTGGGCGGTCACATGGTGCGGATTTGGCCCGAGGGCCGTGGGACGCATGCGCGGGCCACATAGGGCCAGCGCCCGGGGGAGGGCTGGAGCGCACACCGGCCATGGCAGCGCAGCCCGGCAGGCCCTGGTGTTTCTCCCAGAGATTCCAGAACACCCCGGCAGTGGCACCTCTCTGGGGTCCCGGGGTCTGCCGGCCGGGGAGGTATGACCAGGCCCAGAGGGGCCATCTGGGAGGGCTCCTCAGAGGCGGCGACTTCGGATGGAGCACGCGTGCGCCATCAGCCCCCCGACCCGTGTGTTGTCTGGTCCCCGGCAGCAGCTGTCTGAGGTCCCGATGCCTGGAGACCTGCCTCCCAGTGCCCCAACTGTCCCCGCCGTGGACACGAGTCACGAGGGGCCCAGCGCCCACCTGCCCCGTTGTCCGAGCTCGGGCCCCTCTGTGCCAAGGTGCCCTCGCCCCTCGGGGGCCCTCGGCTGCGTGGCCTGCCTGGCCGCTGGGGAGGAGGCCCCATGGGCCTGGTGTCTCAGCTGGCTCAGTGCTGCAGGCCTGCGATGCTGGGGAGCAGGCGGGGCCCGGCCTCCCCAGATAACGCTCAGGCCCCCCCTGCTGCCCCGGTGTCGCCTCAGGATCCCATGAGCCTCCCGGGAGAGAAGGCCACATCCACCCGAGGGCAAGCCTGGTGGGAGCACCAGAGGCCTCAGCCTCATGCGCCCACTCTGGGAGCCACAGCAGAGCCAGAGAGGGCCGGGCCGGGCCTCCCGGGGCTGGGGCTGCGGTGGGGTGACTGCGCCCCCACATGTCCAGGCCTAGGCCCCATTCTGGGTGCCCTGCCGCACCCCATGGAGTGCTCTGTGGATGCTGCGGTGCTGAGGCAGACACGGCCGCCCCTCCCTCCCCTGGAAGGCGCCCGTCCCCACCAGCCAGCTCCCACGCTCACTTCCGGGAGGCCCCTGTGCCCTGGGGGAGGGGGGCGCAAAGGGTGCCAGACAGCCAGGCCTGACTCTGGACCCGGCACCACACTCCAGGAAAAGGGAGAGAAGGTTCTGGAAGGTTTTGGAGGTTCCCCCGCCCTGGCCCAGCAGGTGCTGGGGAGGCCCCAGTCCCGGGGGCTGGCGGGTGGCGTGGTCACTTGCTGGTCTGCGTCGGGAAGGGCTGGGAGGACCCGGGGGCCCCGTGGGCCTCTGGGGAGCCTGGACTCCCCTGGCCTCGGCTGTGGGCAGGACCCTAAGCACGGAGGAGGAGGCCGGCCCGTTCCCAGCGCTGCCCTCGGCTCCCCCTCGGCCCGTCTTCCCGGGCGCTGTGGGCGTTCCACTTTGACCTTTGGGGTAAGATAATGGGGCTTCTGTTCTGGAGCCGCTGGGAGTCGGTCTCCCAGCTGGTCTCCACAGGCCGCCCGGGGCGCCCACCCCCAGGGCCCCTGCCTTTGGCTGCGTTTCTCTCGGGGGTGGTGGCCGGGCCGGGTGGGCACTCCCCAGCTCGCCCGTGGGCACTGGGGCGGCGGCTCTGGTGTCCGTGCCCCCCAGGGCCATGCAGCACCCGGGAACCTTCCGCCCCATGCTGGCGCCTCCTCCCCCACCCTGCAGCCCAGCTGTTTCCGTGAGGACCCGAGAAAAAGCCGGCCGGGATGTCCAGGGTGACCGGGGATGCGAGGAGCCGTGTCTGAGTGATGAATCGTGTGCTCTTTGCCCCAAGCGGGCAGCAGGCACGGAGCTCGGTGAAAGCCGATCTCCAGCCAGCAGGGGCAGGGACAGAGCCCCAGCAGGCGGGCAGGGGCTGCGGGGGCTTCAGGCCGCCTGCCCCACCCAGGGCCCCGGAGCCTGGCTTTAGGGCCGCAGATGGCCGCCCGCTGCCCTCACGGCAGTCCTGGTGGCAGACGAGGTGCTGGCCCTGGCCTGCCGCGGCGCTGGCCTGGGTGCGGGCAGGGAGCGCAGACTCGTGGCCCGGGGCCAGGACGGCGGCCTCGGAAGCGGAAAGGGGCACAGGCGCAGCCCCTTCCGGGGTCCAGGCTGAGGGGTGGCCGGGGCTGGGGAGGTCTCAGCAGGGAGAGGCCAGGTGGCCCCCGGTCCTCATCGGCTCTTGGGCCACTCCCGGCGCCCGCGCCCGCCCCGGCATCGAGGCACCGCCTCCGCCCCGGCTGCCAGACCCACGTGCCGCCCGACCGTGGGCCTCTGCTCCCCGCTCCCCGCTCCCACAGCCGGCACCCAGCACGGTCGCTCGCGGGCGGACGCCGCCTCCAGTGGCCACGCTGGCTGTGCCCCTTTGTTTAGGGACCTGGTTTTTATTAAATTTAATTGCTTCCTTTTCTGGCCTTAAATCAAGGGTGGCCTCAAAACAGGGACAGCATCGATTTAATTTAATTACTCCGCAGCCTTCCCAGGAGAAGCTCGGCTACTGGAGGCTCCGGGGCCCGGCCGTCGCGCCCAGCCCGAGAGGCGGGACGCAGCTCCTGTCCGCGGCCGGCTCACCGGCGTCTTTCTTTTCCCCTGCCATGAAGAGCGCGGGCCCTGACTCGGGCGATTCCTCAAGGGCCGTTTATCTTCCGAGCCGGCGTCCCCACCGGCCGCTCAGGCAGCACAAAGGAGAGGCGGCCGCTGCCGGCTCCACGGCCGCCCGCCGGCCAGGTACGGGGTGGGGCCGCCCGGCCTCGGCCCCGCGCGCTGTGACCCCGTCCTGCCCCGCGGCCCGACGCAAGCCCCGGGGACGGCGGCGTGGAGGCCGCTGCGGCGTGTTTTATGGAATGTCACCGAGGACACGGCGGGTCCTCGCGGCCCGGCGCCCGGAACTCAGGCGCAAACACTGGAAATTATTAAGATGATTTGTTAAATAATAGAAAATGTTTTTCATTTCCAATTTCCAGCGCTTGCTGAAACCCTCCTCGGCCGCCTGCTCCTCATTCCTTAATATTTAGACTTATGGGCCAATTTGAGGGTATTTTCTCTTTCTGCCGTGATTAATGCTTCCGTGGGACAATGTCATCACAAGTCACCCACCTGCCCTGTCAGCCCGGCATCAATCTCTCCGGCTGGGTGGTAATTTATGGCGGGCGCCGGCGATTTGCAAGCCTGGTGGGGCGGGCGGAGGCGCCGCTCGGCTCTGTCTCGGCCGCGTCAGCTCCCCATTAGCAGAACAAATGGTGCAGAGACCAGGCATCATCTCCAAGGCTCGATAAATATTTTATCAGCCATAATGGAAATTGTCAGATTGATCTAATTGTACAATACGTTATCAGTGTGCTATCGGGGCAGGCCGGCCTCGCCGGGCCCGGGCTGCGGGCTGCGGCGGCGGCGGGCGGGCGGCTGGGCCCGGCCCCGCGTAAATAAAGCGCCGGTCACGGCAGCCCGTTAAGGGGATGATAAATTTTGTGGAGATAAATGGCTTCATCCGGCTGTGCCTGGCTAGTCCGGAGTTTTGAGAGCAGGAGGGGAGCAGAGGTGGGCCCGGGCCGGGGTCGGGTCCAGACTCCTGCAGCCCGCCCGCCCGGTCGCCGGGGAAACGCCCCGCAGAGCGGCAGTGGCCCGGGGCCTCTGCGAGGGGCGCCGGCCGGCCTCGGATGTGGGCGCGCAGTGACCCCGGGGGCCCCGGCCCGGCCTCCAGGAGCCGAGCCCGCTGGAAAGGCCGATGCGTGAGAGCGGCCTCCGGGTCCGTCCTCAGGAAGGCTGGGGAGGGGCGGGGGCGGGGGCGGTCAGGCGCTTTCACAGCCAGGCAGGGCCTTTTGATTTCTAGAACAAACAGCGATGTCTCAGACCTGGAGCACATTTGCAAAACCGAGTGAAAACATCTGTGAACAAGCCCGCAGCGAGCTGCCGGGCGGCGGGGGCGGCCTTCCTGCCGGGCGGCCACTGCCAGCCCTGCCCACATCCTCGCGGCCTCCTCCCGCTGTGGATGCGTCCGGGGCGCACAGCAAGGCCGCTGGCCTCAGCCTCGGTGGGCGCAGCGGCGCCCGGGGACGTTGCCCCGAGGGGAGGGGCGCAGGCGCCACGGAGGGTGCGGGGCCGGAGGGACGGGAGGTCAGCGCGGCGTGGCTCCCGCTCCTCGGCCCACCTGGTGCTCTGCGGGCGGCTCTGGCCACGCTCTCGGCCCGGCTCCCAGACCAGCCCCCGCAGGGAGCCCCACGCGTGGGTGGGACGTGCACTTGGGCCTGGGCCGGAGCACATGCACACACACACGTGCACTCATGCACACGTGCACACACACGCACATGTGCACATGCATGCACACAGCACACACATATACACTCACACACGTGCACACAGCCACACACACGTGCACACACACACCCCACACGTGCACACACACACGTGCGCGTGCACAGAAGCCCGTGCTCCAGCTCTCCGCTGCCATCACGTAAAGGACGGCGGCAGGGCTGGGCGGGCTCCACACGGGCTGAGCCGCCAGGAGGTCCCTGTGTGGAGTTCTGGCCGTGGGGTCCCAGCGTGGGGTCGGGCGTGGGCGTGAGCTGCGGGCGCGTGGCCGGGCCTGGCGCTCGGGAGCTTCCCCGCCCGCGGCCGGGCACTGGGATGGCCCCAGCCCGTCTCCCCAGCTGCCCTCTCCCCTTCCCACGGAGGGAGGGCAGCACCCAGAGCCCTCCGGCCCTCCTGGACGGCCAGGTCCGGCTGGGTCTGCGTGGGGTGGGCTCTCCCCGGGCCGCAATCACAGCTGCAGCAGAAACTCAGCCGAGGGCCCTCCTGCCGGATGTGGGGCAGTGGCCGCCACGCCGCTCCCTCCCCTGCCTGGACTCCCCGGGCCCTGGGCCCTCTCCTGGCTGCTGGGAGCCCTCCTGGGAGGGACCCCTGAGAGGCCTGGCCGCCGGCACCACCCTCCAAGGACTGGCCGGCCCTGCCCACCGAGGAAGGTGCTGGGCCTTGGGGTCCCATCACCCCAGGACCTGGCGGCCCCAGGCTCTGATCCCTGGGGGCCCCTCTCCAGAGCAGACCCTGCCCCATGACATCACATGTGCCCAGAGACGGCTGTCTGGCCCTTCCCCGGGCCTGGCCCTGTGGGGGAGCCCCTGGGAGGCCTCAGATGGGCTGGAGGACAGGCTGGCTGCAAGGGTGACCAGGGCAAGTGTCAGCTAGAACCGTCTCCCCTCACTGCAGCTGCCCTGTCCCTAGTCATGGTTCGGAAACTGAGGCACGGGGGAGCTGGGAGGCCGGGCACCTGCCTGGGTCTGCTCCCGGGCCTCTGCGCCATCTGAGCTGCACTGTGGGGGGGTGAGGGCGGGGTCCTCTCCCTCCCAGTGCTCTCCCAACACCCCGGGCTCTCTCCTCCGAGGGGACACCCAGAGCCCTCCAAGGTGACCCTGGCTGGCCCCACCACCTGCACACCCTGGGTCCATGCTGGAGGCAGCCCCCCGGGGCCAAAGTGTGGGAGCAGCCTAGGGCGGGCACCAAGGCCCTCGTGCATGAGGGGAGGGAGGCCAGGGGGGCTTCTGGCTCCAGCGCCACCCAGGCTCGCCCACGCGTGTGCCCCGGGCCTGGGGGAGGTTGGGGCTAGGCCTGGCCGCCAGGGGCTCCTCCTGCCCTCCCGAGTCCATCCTAAACCAGCCGTCAGGCGCCCCTCCCCTGCAGAGGAGACAAGCAACCAGAACTGCAAAGTGCACCCCTTGGGCGCCTGGACGGATGTCCTGGCCGCCTGCGAGTGCTCAGGGCCGAGTCGGGGTTACCCTGTGCCTGGAGACCCAGGCCACACGCTCGAGGTGGGCCCCCAGCCCCCAGCCGCCATCCACCCAGCCAGGTGCGCCTTGCATGACCCAGGTGCCTGGAAGACGCCTGAGCTCCTGCTGGCACGTAGGCAGCCGTCACCCCGCGCAGGTGCTGCCCGCCACCCCAGGAGCCCCACTGTGGCCAGGAGAGGGCGGGGCGGGATGACACTGGCCCCATCGTGCTGGGCCCAAGGGACGCCGGGCAGTGAGCCCCGCTGCTGGCTGGGATTCCGCGCCCCGTCTCCTGGGCACCACCCTCGGGTGGGACCCGCTGCTGAGGAGGGAGCGGCCTCGGCCCTCCACACCAGAGACAGAGCCCGGGCCCGGGGCCCTCCAGAAGCTGTGACCGCCTCACCCCCACCGTGTCCTGGCCGCTGTCAAGGACGCATGTGTGTGGTGTGCACGCGGTGATGCAGGCAGCTGTGTGCACGTGGTATGCAGGTGTGTAGGGTGTGCAGCAAGCGTGTGTGCATGTGTCCTGTGTGCACGCGCGAGTGTACATGTGCCTTCTCAGTAGTGCCATGGCTGATGGTCAGTTTCATCCCATATGACAACGAGGTCTGGGGGCACTCAGGAGCCCCTGGCCCAGCAGTTTGCTGCACTCGGTAGGGCCCTGGGCAGCCCCTGTCTGGGCTTCTGGGGCCTGGGCAGGAGCCGAACAGGTGGCCACAGCTGCTTCAAGGTCCCCAGGGGCCCGCGGCTACAGCCGGGGGGCAGGGCGGGTGCGCCGGGTCTACTTTCCTTTTCACTTGTGAGCACCCCCCACGCCGACCATGTCCGTGCCGGGCCGAGAGCTCCGTGGCCTGTGCCGGCCCCCTGCTGTCTTTGGGGGGCTGCCGGCCATGTGCTCTCCAGGGCTCTCACCTGGGCTCTGCCCCCAGAGGGCCCCGGCGCATGAAATTGTGGGGTAGGGGCAGTGTTGGGGTGTGGGAGGGCTGCCTGGAGGTCCCAGAGAAGTGGGGGGTGCCTCAACGGCGCAGGCATGGGGCGGGCAGCGCCATGACGGTCAGTGCCTGGGACGTCACCGGCTGCGGTGACCGGGCCAGGCAGGGGGCCAGGTCTGCAGGCCAGCAGGCCAGCGAGGCGAGGGAGCCGTCTAGCCCGGCGCGGGCCAACACTTCGGTGCCCGTCACCCCCTCCCTGAGTGCGCCTTCCCATTCGGGTGGGGTCCTCAGGGCGGTGGCCCCGGCCGGGCAGCAGTGTCTGGGTTTGGGGCCGTGGCCTGGCTGGCGCGTGGGGCAGCACAGCCCTTCACGCCAGGATCGCGTTGGTGTTTGCCACACCCAGAGGGGGACCCCTGGACTGGAACCTCAAACAAGTGGGCGAGGAAGAGATGTCCCAGGCCCCATGGATGACCTGAGGTCCCCCCTCGCTGGACTACCCGGCCCCTGGCGTGTGGGGGTGAGATGACCGCAGAGGTGACCAGGCCTCAGCCAGGCTACCCTGGCCGGCCGGATAAGACTGTCCCGGAGCCAGCACTTGACCGCCTCGGCCAGCGCCTGGCTGCCGTTGTGTGTCCACCAGCTGGGCCGGGGCCTGGGAAGGCACAAGGTGTGAGCCCCCGAGTCCAGGCAGCGGGGCTGCGGGGTCTGTCTCAGGGCGAGCAACAGCCATGCGTTCGGGGCCGCCCTCTGCCGTGGCCCGGCCAGGACGGCCGTCCGCCTTCTCATGTGCGCGGTGGCCCGGGAGGAGCTCCGTCGGCGTCCCAGCGTGTGTCCAGCCACGTCCCCTGGGCCCTGGGCAGGCCAGCGTCCACAGGCACCGGCGCGGCCGCATCTCCACCGGCGAGGCTGAGCTGCAGGTGTGTGGCCGGGGCTCAGCCGCCCGCTCCCATGCCTGGAGAGCGCTGCGGAGGGCTGCACCGGGTGTGGCCCTGGGACTGCTCGTGTGGGCCCCGCGGGTGGCGCCTTCAGCCTCCATCCCGGAATCGTGGAGAATCCTGGTGTGCGCGGGCGCAGGGTGCTCCTCTGTCCCTGCAGACCCTTCCACGCCCGCGGCTGCGGCTTCACGGCCGTAGGAAAGAAATCGAGGCTTTGCACTGGGACATCCCACGCGTGGGGCCACAGAAGCTCTGAGTGGGGCCCCCCTCTCTCCTCCCTGCGTCGCTCGGGACCCCTGCCGGACACCCGTCCTGCGGCCCGTTGCGGGTATCTGGCTGGCAGGACACACGGGGCGAGCTGCAGACTGAGCTCAGGCCCCACACAGGAGCCCCCTCTCTGGCCCTGAGGGCTCCGGCAGGAGGTGGTGGGAGTTGGGGGGTGAGGGATCCTCGAAGTTCCCTGAGTCAGAATCAGTGGCCAAGACCACTTAGGTCCTCCGGGACTTGGCAAGCAAGACCTTGAAGACAGGCGGCGTTCATCCCTCGCCTGGCCTCCTGCCCTCCGTCCGCCCGTCCACCCACCCACTGAGATTCCTGGAGGTGCCGTCTGTGCCCATGTGTGTCCCGAGGAGGGGGATCGCTGAGCCCGTTCCAGTGAGGAAGCTGACCGAGATGAGGGGCCGGGGCTCCTGCCTCAGCCTCTCGTTGGGAGCACGAGTGTGCAGCCTCCACTGCCGAGCACCCTGGTCCGGGAGCCACGCTTGCCCCAGGGTCTCCGGGCAGAGTCCAGGGCCTCTGGGACGTTGGTGCTGCCCGCCTGCTCCTTGACCCGTTGCTGGGCCTGGCACCCAGCGGGTAGAGGGCTGCGGCCAGGCCTTCCCACTCTGCCTGGCCTGCGGCCTCCTGCCGGCCTTCCTGTGTCAGCTGCAGACTGCGGCAGGTGGAGAGACCAGCCCCGAAGGGGCAGAGGCCTCCGGGGGCCGGTACGGGTCTTGGAAGGGGCTGCGGAGCGGAACACGGGCGGGGAAGGGGCCAGGAGCCGGCGCAGGGTCCCGGGTGGGCCACGCAGGTGCCGGCCGGCTGTGCTCGTCTGGCTGCGGCGCGGGGAACGTGGCTGGGGCAGCGGGCGGGCAGGGCCAAAAGGCCACACCCTGACCCCTCGCCAGAGGCCCCGAGACCCCCAGGGGCGGCCACAGGCTGGGCCGCGTGCAGGAGCCCCTCGTTCGCCGCAGGGAAGGGCGAGAGATGCTGCGTGGGGCTGCCCGGAGGCCGGGCTGGGCCTGGCACCCCCTCCGCTGAGGTCTGGTGATGGAGCGCCCGATCCACCCTTCCGGAAAAGGCAGTCCTGTTTGGATCAGAAAATAATTAGCAGGGCTTTAAGTGGGGGTTTCAAGTACACATTTAATTTAGGCTGATTAACAGGCATGTGCTAAGTACACGCCAGCTGAATTTTAAAACCGTCCCATTGAGAAGCTCGGAGCACGCGGCAATATGGAAACTCGGTAAATGCGCCGTTTCTGTAACTGGCAATTATATTAATAACACGCAGCACTTGTCTCGCGAAATTCAAATTAATGTGTGCGTGTCGGCCTCGGGGCCGCGCGGCTCCCAGGCGGCGTGTGACCGGGAGCCGCTGGCGGGCGCCGCGCGGGGGAGTCCCGGCTCCGGAGGCCGGGACATCGGCTGCATTCTCGCCCCTCCAGGCCCGTCTCCGAGCCCGGCTCTTCCTCCGTCTGCGGTTCGGAGCCGAGAGCCGCTGTCCCCCGGGCCTGGCGCCCCCCACCAGCCGCCCCCCGCCCGGTGCTGCTGCGTCCTCGGAGACCCGCCAGCCTGGCCCGGGGCCCGCGAGGAGCAATTAGGATCTGCCCCTGCCCCCCCCGCCCCCGGCCCCAAACAGGCTGCTGCAGTGGCCGCTGCAGGCCAGGGCGCTTGACCTTGCAGGAGGACACCTGGTGCTCTCACCTCCCCGCCCCAGGCGGGCAGTCGCGGACGTGGCTGGGCTGACGCCCCGGGACCGCCTTGGTGCCATCCGGGGAGGACTCGCCGCCCCTGCCCATCCCAGGCCGCATCACCCCCTTAGTCAGGAACCCCGGGAAAAGCACTGGGAAGAAAAATCAACTAATCCTGGCCTTACACCCCCCACCCTAACCAAGGCTTTGGTTTTTGTGGGTGAATGGAGGCTTTGCTGGAATATGCGCCCCCCCCCATGCAGCCCCCAGCCTCTTTGGCTGCACAGGGTTCGGCGACGTGGGGTGGGAGCTCCAGGGCGGGTTGCCGGCGAGCTCGGCCTCCCTGACCGTCTCTTCTCCTGGGGCCCCAAATGGCCAGGGAGCCGTGTCCCAGGAAGAGACCCCTGGAGCCCCGGGGCTGGCTCCAGCGTCTGGATGCCCGACCACCCCACCCGCATGGGGCCGGAGGCTGCGGACGGCGGCGGGCGGTCCTCCTGGGATGGTGTTGAAAGAAAACGGGGCAGAAGAGCCAGACTGGCAGAAGAGCTGGACTGTTCCCCAGCCCAGACTCGGGGTTCGGAACTCGGGCTCGGGCAAGCGCTCCTGCCCTCCCTGTGTGGACACCGCTGCCCCCGCACGGGGCGCCGTCCCCGGCCCGCCGCCTTCCCCAACACCCGCCGCCCCTCTCGGCCCCTGGAAACGAGCGCGCTCGGGCGGTGCGCGGCCCACCCCGCGGGACGAGCTTGCGCGGGGAGGCCGGCGCCGCCTTTTATGCCAGGACAGCTCGGTGGCTGGGAGGCTGCGGGCGCGTGGGGAGACCCGGCTCAGGGACACGCTGCCTTTGCTTGGCGCTGACCCCCGGGAGCCACAGCCCGCCCCGGCCCCTCGCCGCTCCGCGGAGCTGTTTGGGGTAATGGCCTTCCTTAAATTAATAATGCGTAGAAGGAGATTTACAACACGCTGCTCGAATATTGTCCCTGCCTTTTTTCATGCATTTGTCACCGTGGCCTCTAATGGAGGCGCCCGGGAAGGATGAATAACGAAGAGGGGCAGCGCGCGCCATAATCCAGGGCCATTTGCAAATTCATCACCGATATTCCCGGAGAAGCCAGGACAGGGGCGGTGACGGATGTCCCCCCGCGCTAATATATCTGCGCGGCCCGCTGCCGGGGCCTGGAAGGAGGGTCCTCGCCCCAGCAACAGATGGCGGCCCGGGCGCTGGCCGGGCACATGCCCCCCGCGCTCAATTTGATCGTCCTGACTTTGGGGGTGACTCTGGGGGGGCAGATCAGAGACGCTCTCCCAGCAGCCCCCCTG